AAACCAAAGGCCTTCTGCTCCCTCCGGGGCCGCCGAGTTGGCCTATCATCGGAAACTTACCCGGAATAATCCTGTACCGTCCAACTTGGAAGTGGATCCATCGTGTAATGGACGAGATGAAGACGGAGATAGCTTGTTTCCGTTTCGCTGGCATCCACGTCATCTCCATAACCTCCAGCGAAATTGCCCGAGAAGCCCTTAGAGACAAGGGAGCGATTTTCGCGGACAGACCAGAGTCCTACCCGACAGAGTGCATAAGTGTGTCCTACAAGGATGTGTTATTCTCTCAATATGGGGAACATCAATGGAAGAAGACGAGGAAAGTGATGATGTCGCAACTGATGTCACCAACACGACTTAGCATGTTGCATGATGCAAGAAACGTTGAAGTCGATAATCTCCTTGCGTACGTTCAAAATCTATACAAACAGTCCAAGACAGTGAACGTGAGAGACATCGTGAGGACTTAATGTCACGATGTGATGATGAGACTTATGTTTGGTCAGAGGCATTTCAAAGAAGCAACAAAGGATGGTGGTCTTGGGCTAATGGAGAAGGAACATGTCGACGTCATATTCAAGGCTCAAGATTGTTTGTTCGGATTTTGTGTATCAGATTACGTTTCTTTTCTAAGAGGTTGGAATTTGGAGGGCGACGAGAAGCAGGTAAGAGAAGTCGTAAACGTTATCTCTACATACAACAATCTGATTATCAACGATAGAATCGAGTTATGGAGAGAGAGAGGTGAAAATGAAGATGTCGAGGATTGGATCGATGTTATCGTCACGCTAAAAGATACTGACGGAAAGCCGCTCCTGACCCCAGAGGAAGTCAGAGCTCTATGCATGGTTGGGATCTGTTATAATAAACTGATACAACCGGGTAAGGGTCGGGTCGAGCTCGTGGAGTCGGAAACCAGCAACTTGCTCATGGCTAAACCTCTACTCGCTTGTGTGGAACCCCGGTTCGGTCCACATTGGTACCCTGAATTCAATAATTGAGATCTAAGTTTATATATACCCCGAAAAAAAAAACATCCGCATTGTTTGGTTTGGATTTACTCGTTCGGACAATGCCACTGTTCCAATGTTCAGTTAAGCTATTAAATAAGTTGCAAGGATCGGTTTGTGCATTGTTATAAACGACTAATGTGTGTATACACATATATTACCCTTTGTTTATTATGAGTGCAGAAATTTCGATAACCAGTCAACGACCACATTTATTTCTGTGATAAGAAATAAATAAAAGTACAACTAATTTGGCCGTGAGAAGAAATTAAAAGAAACAATTTCACAATTTAATTACACGTATCTTGAATCTTTGCCATACATTATTTTTTACGTTTGAGTTCACACTTTCCTCATGGGAAAAATATGGATCCCTAAAAAATGACATTGTGTTAAATAGAGATGTTGATACGGAAAATATTACTGTAATTGTTATTTGTTACAATAGAATCTTATTTGATTAGATAAAATCAATATGGGGCTCAAAAATATCAATAAAAATAAAAGAAGATACGAAAGAAATAAAATAAGTATCTATTCGAATTCTATATGTAATGAATCCCAGGGTTTCGGCATAAGAAAAAGTGCAAAGTCATCATATCATAATAATAATGAGATCCTAATCTCAAAGCAAAAAAGGGGATATGGCGAAATTGGTAGACGCTATGGATTTAATTGGATTGAGCTTTGGTATGGAAACCTACTAAGTGATAACTTTCAAATTCAGAGAAACTCCGGAATTAACAATGGGTAATCCTGAGCCAAATCCTGGTTTACGCGAAAAAAAAGAGTTTAGAAAGCGAGAAAAAAGGGATAGGTGCAGAGACTCAATGTAAGTTGTTCTAACAAATGGAGTTTATTACCTTGTGTTGAGAAATGAGTCTTTGATCGAAACTTCAAATAAAAAAAAGGGATGAAGGAGAAAAACCTAAAATTGCAACCTATATTGCATAAGTATAGGTAAGACAAAACACTCTAAAAAATGACTGTTGAAATAAATTCAAAAAAAAAAAAACACAAATCGAATTTCTTAAAGTGTTGGAACTTGTATATGTATCGATCATGATTCAGATTCACTCAAGACTTCAATTACTTTTTGAAAAAGTGTTATTCCACCTTATTGGGATAAATGAGATTTTGGGAATACATTTTTTAATACAAAAAAATTATAATAATTTCTTTTTTTTTTTTTTTTTGGTAAACGGTAAATGTTTCATATATAACTGCCCAAATACAAAGACGAGTACTTGCACAACAGTAACATTACAGCCAAACGGTCAGGAACCGAATTCAAAAATGATCAAAGTAACGGAACCAAAAGGACATAACTGTATCCTCTGACGAAGGAGGCAACAAGTCAGCCTGAACAGAAGATAACTTTCGTCTAGTAAACCGAATAATTGCTTTACGAGTCACCTCAACAGGCTTTGATTCAGAGCGATGGATTCTCGAGTTTCTTTCCATCCATATCATGTATATAGAGGCCTGGAAGAGAAGTAAAAGCATGTATTTGACAACCGTTGGACCTGCATAAGAAGACAACCAAGACATAATATCCCCCAAGGGGGGGGGGGGGGGGGACGACGCTTGGAGCAAAACATTAGGCCAAATGTGCGCTGAGTAGGAGCATCGAAAAAACAAGTGCGCTACGGTTTCGTCATTGTCACCGCAGAGAACACAACACGTCGGCGTGTTAAGGCCCCACTTAGGATCCAATCATGGAACCGTCATATAAGAGCGTTTAGGAACAGAACGAGCAAACCAGACCACATTCCTCCATGGTACGTGGGGGGGCGTAGGAGAGATCAGCGACCACGTCGATTTTGTCGAGAACGCCGGTAGTTGGGATACTTGGTGGGCTTCCGACCAATAGAATCGATCAGGGCTACTGTTGTCTCTCGGATGTGGGTGGGCAAGAAGAGCTTGGTGGATAGACACGGCCATGTCTGACCTCGCCGGGTGGAGGAGCCAACCTTCAGATGAGACCGCCGCTGCAACCGACGCATCCAAAGGTATTCCCAGCAATCGAGGTCCAGTAGAGCCTACCACCAACAAAAGAGAGCCAAGGGGGAGCCAAGAATCATACCAGAACTTGCATGTTTCTCCGTTACCCACTTGGCAACGAAGGATAGATCTGGCCAATTGTCGAAGCTTCAGTAATTTATGCCAAGCCCAACTACCCTTCCCACGATCACGGAGCGACCAGAAGTGCTTACTGCCAATTAGGTTCTGCTTCACCCACGAGACCCACAGCGAACCTCCTTTCGTGAACAAGATCCAAATTAGTTTTAGGCATAGAGTTTTGTTCCAGTCCGCTAGCCTTCTCAAGCCTAGGCCCCCACTGGTTTTAGGTGTATAAACCGCTGTCCAAGAGACCTTGGCGCCCTTTGCCAAATCAGGTGCCCCCGACCAGAGGAAAGCAGAACACATCCGCTCTATACTCTTGAGACAAGCCGATGGAAGAATAAATGCCGCTGCCCAAAAGCTAATGATGCTGTATATTACAGACTTAAGTAATTGCAGACGGCCCGCGAAAGAGAGATGCTTGGACATCCAGGAGCACAACCGAGACCTAATAGAATTTTGAAGGATAGCATAGTCACGATCCCGAAACCGAGATGGAGATAAAGGCAAACCCAAATATTTCACTGGTAATGTTGCAGTTGAGATACCCAAACGTGTAGCTGTAGAAGATACAAACGCATAGTCATCCCCATCAAGGAACAACGCGGTCTTGCCTTTATTCATCCGCAAACCAGAAATACCATAGAAGTCATCAAAGGTTCGAAGGATAGCCTCAAGTGAGCTTATGGAGCAATCGGAGAATACCAAAACGTCATCCGCAAAGGTGAGGTGGGATACCATTGGAGAACGACATCTGGGCGGTAGCTTGATAGTTCCCCTAGAGACTTCTCGGTTTAACATTCTGGATAATATATCCATAACAAGTACAAACAGGTACGGGGAGATAGGATCACCCTGCCTAAGGCCCCGCTTACCAAGGAAAAACCCGGTCATTTCGCCATTGAGTACTATCGAGAAAGCAGTGGTGGAGATGCATTGAGAGATCCAGTTTAAAAACCGACACGGGACTTTGAGTACCCGTAGAACCTGAATGATAAACCCCCAGTGAATAGAGTCAAAAGTTTTGGATAAGTCCACCTTAATACAAGCATTCTTGGGTCGACCCTTAGTACCAAAGCTCGCAATCAGCTCTGTAGCAAGCAATACATTTTCAAGTAAAGAACGCCCCGGGATGAAAGCCGTTTGGTTAGGGAGGATGGCTGATGATAACAACAGCTTCAACTTTTTCGCAAGGATCCGAGATATAATCTTATATGTGATATTACAACATGAGATCGGCCTAAAATCCTTCATGTGTGTAGCATTCCTGGTTTTCGGAATCAAAGCAATAGTGGTAGCATTCCATTCCTTTAGCAACTGACCAGAGAGGAAGAATTCCCTTACCGCCGCAATGATGTCAGGGCCAATAGTAGCCCAACATGAGACATAAAACTCAGATGGAAATCCATCAGGTCCCAGTGCCTTATCCCTCGGCATAGAGAAGACCTCTGTAGTAACCTCTTCCAACGTTGGAATAGCTGAGAGGATAGAAGAGATGTTTTCCGGGCAACGGAAATCAACAAGCTCCTCCAGTTCCGAATCCGGCCAAAGCATTAGATTAGGGTCCGAGCTACCCAATAGATTCTGATAGTATTCCACCGCGAGGAGTTTCAAATCCTCTATTTGGGATACCCTTTCCCCTGCATCATTCAAAAGGAAACGGATTCGATTAGTTGCTTGCCTGGATAAAACTGCGCGATGGAAGAACCTCGAATTTTGATCTCCCTCTTTTAGCCATCGTATTCTCGATTTCTGGCGCAAAAATGTCTCCTCGGCGGCCGACGGAACCGACCAGGAGGAGCGTAAAGTAGCTTCATGTCTGGCTGCATCCAGTGTAGGATTCGATAGAAGTCGGGTTTGCGCCTCCTAGAGGGCTCGATGAGCTACCTTCACTCGGGCCTGAATGCCACTATAAGATCTCTGGTTCAGCTCCCTCAAGACGGGCTTGAGCGATTTAAGCTTCTGTGAAACCTGAAACATGGCCGAGCCCGATGTGGAATCGGCCAACCAAGCACACCGAACAACGTCATGAAACTCCGGGTGTTGTATCAAGTGTTTGAGAAACTTGAAGCTCGTTCTCCTACGTCGCATACTTGTTGGGTCCATGTCTACGAGGCAGGGACAATGGTCCGAAGGTGTAGGAGCATCGAATCGAGCATAGGACTCCGGAAAGGAAAGTAGCCAGGCCTCATTTACCAAGGCACGGTCAAGCTTACGTGTGATGGGATTATCTGTATTGTTGTTCGTCCAAGTAAAAAAGTGGCCTCGCGCAGTGAGATCAAAAAGGCCGCTAGTGAACAGACAGTCCTGAAACTCAAGCATACCGGACGACAGAGAGCATGAAGAAGAAGGGGAAGCATGCTCGTGGGGGTGTAGAATCTGATTAAAATCTCCTACCAACAACCAAGGTCTGGACGTGACGAGACAATTGGTGGCTAGGGCAGAGATGTCAGACCATAGCAGTCGACGTTCACCCGAGGTATTACGCGCATAGATGAACGAGATAGTAGTATAGCGGCATGTTGCTGGTACAAAAACCCCGCATGTAATCATCTGATCAGAGGAGGAGTACGTGACAACTGATACGGAAGGATCCCAGGCTATCCAAATACGTCCTAGCTCAGCGGAAGAGTAGTTGTGGGAAAAAGACCAACCAGGGAGAAGGCGTTGAACAACTGATGATGCTTCCTGCTCCCCTCGTACTCGCGTCTCAATCATGCTCCCAATAATTGGATGCTGCTCATTTATCCAGTACTTAACATTACGTTGCTTCAACGGGTCGTTTAGACCACGTACATTCCAACAAAAAACCTTCATCACACTACTATGTACAAAAGGCAAAAATGGGCAGTGCTGTAGAACCAGTTAATGGGCACCCCGACCCCTCCCATTCCGACTTCGCGTTACCACTGAGAACTCCTGGGGGATCTTTGGAGTGCGAGCCTCTTGGAGCCTTAATGACCTCTGAGCTTCCTGGACCAATTCATCTGCGGGATCAAAAACAAGAGATGGATCCACGTTTCGAACCTGCTTCCCATTCTCACGGGTTATGGAGCTTGGGGAAGAGGGGCGCGGTGCAGGGACTTCCTTCCTAGGGGAATTTAGTGTAGGGGAAGGGGCGGGGACCATTGTGGGTTCGGTAGCAGGCGGTATAGATAGAACAACCATTTTTTGTGGAACAGGATCTGGGCGTGATTTCGTGATTGGAGGATCAAGGGATGTAGGAGGCAGGGTCGAGACCGGGGACTTAGCAGCGGTAGGAACACTTTCCGAAGATGGGCAACTCACAGATCTATGCCCAAATTCATGGCAACGAGAGCATCGGGGTGGGAGCCACGAATAGACAACATTTACTCGAATAACACCTCCCATCTCATCTTCAACCTCGACTATTTCCGGCAATGGGCCACCCAACTTGATTTCAACTTTGACCCGTGATTCGCCGATGTTGAAAGGGTCAAGACGCATTTTATCAGTATGTAGAGGTTCACCGATTCCACTCGCAATATAGCTGATCCCTCGCAGGAAATACAA